AGTATAAAATAACTTTTTTGTGGCTACTGAGGGATTCCACTAGCTATAAAATTAACTAGAAATAGAGCATAATTTGGTATGGACCAAATTTGGTATGGACACTTCTTTTGTTTCTTTGCGATGCTAAAAATTTGATATCCTTTCTCCCGTTAAGATAGCTGAAGTCATGAATACTAACAAGACCCATATGCAAACACAATGAAGAAGTAAACCTTAAGGCCAAATGCAGTACTAAATTACATCTGTGCAATCTCACTGACATCAGTGATCTTGCCAGAAAGAGGAGGTTTTTTTCAGAGAGCAGCAAAAGTGAATCACAAAATGACCATAATCAGACCTAATTCAAGGTGAATTTTGTAATAACAACAGTAAAGTGTTCCCATTTTGCTACATAGGCCATTGTGTAGACTCTCTGACTGCAGCAGTAGGACTGGATGGCTAAGGAGGCTGGGAAGCAGATTGCCAGGACTCAGGGAATTTCTACTCAAATAGAGAGAAACCAAAAGAGGTTCTGGGAGGAAGGAGGGGCTGAACAGAAAGCCTCAAAGGGGCTCAAAAGGGGAGTAAAAAAGTCAAGAGTCAGTAGAGCTCATGGGAAAATTGGGGTGAGGGGCAGGCGCTGGGAAGCTCAGGGGAACTGTGACCATTTGCCTTTCTCCCCTCTCTGGAAATCTTCTCTACCTTCCATTATGGGTCATCCTCAACCAGACCTCAATGTCCCCTCACCACAGCACTGCCACCTCATCCCTTCGCCGTAGAAAAGATAAGCCTCTCTTTACCCTCCCTGCTCTGCTTCCTCCCTGCTCTTTTTCTTTCCTGCCCTTCTTCCTTCCCCTGCCCCATCTATTGCTGAAAGACCTGGTGAGTCCTGGAGAAAAGGGGAGGGATGAGAATAAGGCCTGAGGGATTAAGGAAGGCCTGTTGAGAGGAAAGACTTACTTTCCTCTCCCCGGGGTATTGGGAGCAGTGACAGTTACTGTTAGGACCCAGCTCTGGCAGCTGCCATCACATGCACCCGATGTCTTTCTCAGTAGCATCAGTGGATGCTCATGCTGTTTGACTGCTCATGATTTCTATCTTCTCCAACAGAGAAGCCTAAAGCCCAGCCAATCATAACGTAATTTATGTTCATCCTTACTGTGAAGGATTAAGATAAAATCTAGAGCTGTAACTTGAAACTTCAGAAAGAAGACATTAGATAGAAAAAAGAAAAAGAAAAAAAGAGAAAAAAACTTGAAGGTGTTGATTAATAGACATAAATCTGTCAAGGAATCACAAAGCACGTACTGGCACAAAATGGAACTCAAAACAAAGTTTCAGTATTTCACTTGAGGGCCCAGAAGATACTCCTGACCTTATTTAAAACTGGAGGCATAGATGGATGAATAAATGACAGGGTACATGTGGTACACAGGGTAAAAGCAACATAGATATGCTTTGTCAGGTGGAACAAACAAACAAATGCAAAAAAAAAAAAAGAAAAAAAGATATCCCAAACCCAGAAATATCAGGACTTAACACTATACTGCTCTCGTACATGAAGTGTTCATTTGAAAAAAATTGCATTAGTAAGCTCCAGGCTACAAGAGGCCAAGCTGTAGAACCAGGACAATCATGAAATGGAAAACATAGGACTTTGAAAAGAAACAACAAACAATTAGAGATCATTTAAGCTGGAAAAGGATAGATATTTCTCTAAGGGAGCCACTTGGAGGATCAAAGAGTGAAAGGCATAATGAAGGATGGTAATGTCATTGGTGTAAATCTAACTGACCTTTTTATATTTTTCACCAAAAATATAATAGGAAATATTATTGGAGCTATTTCCCAAGAGTTATCTTTTTTTAAAGACAACAGGTTTAATTGCTAAATGATAAATATTGATAAATAACACATCTCCAGACATATATTCCTCTAAACTGACTTAATGATACTTCCCTGAGAAGGAAGTAGTTAAAAAGTCGATGAAAACGCTGAAATCGCTGTTTAAAAACAGCTGCTATTCTTGAGGCTAGGAAATGCCATATATAATTTAACTGTAGAGCAATGCGTATTCACTCGGGAGCGACTGTGGGGCCGTAGCTGAGGGTGGTGCCATGAGGGGCAGTGCCACAAGGGGGCAGAGGATCAGGGAGTCAGTCACATCACATGGATTTTGGCACAGGAGAGACCCTCGCTTGATATTTTGATCTCCGACAGAGTTAGCAGCACAACTTTATTTAAAAAATATGTGTCTCCATGGCATTCTCCTGTTATCTTCTTTCACCACACTAGAAAGGCACGTTTATTGTGAATTTAAACTTCGTCCCTCACACACACATTTTCTCATTCAAATGCAAATTCTTTCAAAGGATCACGTTACTTTCTTGGTGTTCATGGTAAAGTGTCCATTTTTAACATATTGTCCTCTCCCATGTCTCTCACTATTAACTTGCTACAGACAATTATAAAGCATTATGCAGAGATAGTATTAAGCACTCTAGGAGCAACAGAGTATCTACGAGACTTCAAGGGTGTAAATCACTATGATGAAAGATTTTCTGATGCCACCTATTGCTCATGTAGTTATCGCATCCCATCATTCTTGTGAGTTCATTCCCTGCCAAAAACCACATCTCAAATCTTGCCTACTTTGAGCAGCAGTTATTTTGTCCCAGCTTATCTTGATCAGGTTCTAACTCAGCCAAGCAAGAAAGAATTTAAACTCTGCTTAATATATATTCACGTAATACTTCCACATCAAATACCTAGTTACCATCAGGAGGGTACAACAGGGTTCATGAACATACCCTGCTCCTCAATGTTTCTATTAAATATTTGGAGATAGAACTGAAAAGGACTAATTGAGTCATGGCGTGCTGGCCCCTGCTCTTTCCGGTAAGCCTGTAGTCCCTCTCAAATTTAAAGTGAAAATGTGTAGCTTCACTGAGATTTGAACTCTCAGAAATATTATCTTTTTTTTTAAACCAGCGCCTAAGCACATGCAGCACTGGACTCTGGGCTCCAGTGACCTGTAGGGTTCTTCAGTTTTAGTTTGCTAATGGCTACTGGTTTGAATACTAGAAACAAACTGATCATTCAGTACAGGTCACAGTTTTAATGTGATCATTTTCTGTTGCTGTTATATAAACACCGAAGTACCATTTCTTTATGTAAAAGTCAGAATAAGATCACTTCTGGCAATTAAGACTTGACTAGATTTTAGGTATTATGCAAAGTAGTAAAGTAAGTATGCTTCTCTCACTTTACGTCAGGTTCTGCAGCTGTCTGTGTGAACTTCAATATCTGTTCAAGGCAATATGTGGGTCTTCTTGGTCAAGATAAACAGCAGAAAGAGAAAAAGTCAATCAGCAGTCCAATCCACTATACAAACTAAATTAAAGTGAGTAAAGATACAGTAAGAATTTAATTCTCTAGTGTTGGCCAGAGAATCACAAGAGTGTTTACTTCTCCAGACAGAATGATTAAAAAGAGTACATGGCTGTTATTCCCTTGATTCAGAAATCTGAGTATACAGATTAAAACATTTGCTTCTATAAGCAAGCACCATTCACTTCCTAAGATTGATTACGTACCTGATTACATATCACTTAATGTAGCTGAAGCTTTGTAATTAGTATACAGCCAATTAGTGTGCAGCCTTCTAAATATAATTTATGCATATATAAATGATATTTTCAGACATTATTTACACTTGTGTAAATCTGGAATGATTCCACTGAGATTAAATTAAATTAGTCCAGAATTGTACCTACGTACTCAACAGACTGTGTCACTCCACTGACAAATACAGAAGGTGACACATGGTAACGGAGAAACAAAGGCCACACCTGAGAAAAGCCCACGGGAATAAGGAAACACCTGTTTGCCTTTCGGGAGAACAGGTGGGAGGTGGTGGTTGCCGGCTCAATATCCTGCGCTTGTTATTACAAAGAACGGTGAGCAGGTGTCCCTCTTTTTTTCCCTGTGACTTTATTAAGAAGCCGCTGCTGCTTTGTGCTACCCTGGAGATGCCCTTCCAGCGTCACACGGCTGGCTTCAGCTGCCTCCTCGTAGCACCTAGCAGAGGTTCCCCCGGTGCTTGCCGTGCCTGTGTTGAACGCGCACCCTTCTGCCTCCTTGTTAGCGCAGGAAGCCTTAATGACAGCCTGAAAACAATAGTCACTTCCCCCGGGAGCTTCCCGAGTTATTACTGTTGGGTGGGAAAAACTGAGAGGAGCGGGAGCTGGGGGTGGCG